GTTGTTCTGGTTCCTATTATTGTAGGTTTCCTGGTTCTTTTTCCTCTTTATGTAAATAATGAAAACTGTTAAACCAAGAGGCTATGGCCCTTTGCCATCCAAAGCAATAAATAGTTTCTGCAGGTGAGGCTTTTACTCCAACCACAGAAAACTATTACAAATGTTCTCTAGTCATAAATGCTATCTAGACTACCATTTCAAGCAATGCAGCTTGCCAAAACTACAGTTTTTCTTTGGCACATGCGTGGGTGTTTAGCTGGATAGGAATAGGTCGAGTTCAGCAGTCCATCTCTATTTGGTATGTCCCACAGGCTATCCTTTATCCCTTTTCTCCTCTCCAGGCATTCTGTCTTGATCTTACTGTCCTCCTCTTTCTTCTTACATCTTTCTCACTGATGTCCTCAACTTTTATTTGGTCTCTCCTTCTCTTCAGGAGAAATATCAGCACTCTACTTTTGCTCTGTTCTCCTCTTCCATCTTTTGAAAGGAATGAGTGGTTCTAGCCACACTGCCTTCTGGTTCTTTCCTGCTCAGGATAAGGAGCTAAAGGCTCCAAAATCCCTTCATGCCAGGCTGACACTCTTAATTTCCTTATTCTTTTAAATATATTCAGCCTGCTGCTGTTCACTTTTATTTGTACTTCTATGGGATTTTCCATTTCCTTTTGCAAAGCTAACCCATTAGTGTACAAAGCAATAATAGATGTGTCATAACTTTGTTATTGTAGGGAGAGGCAAGGATTTCTTAACTTTTACTGGAACAACTCTGTAGTTGGGAAGAAGTCAGACAAGGTTTTGAATGCAAGGCATTCTTTGTCAGGTCTCAGATCATGGGAAGCTTGGTTCAGGATAGTGAAACAGTAGAGCACCATAAACCTGCTAACAATATTTAGTCCTTGGTTCTTAGTATCTAGCCAGCTTATGAATTTTTGTTCCCAAGTTCACTTTTTAAAGGTGTTAGGTAGAGTGTTAGGCAGATTTCCTTTGAGCAGGAGGATTGTGAGGTCAGAGAGGCAGTGGTTGTTAACAGTGTTGGCACAGTTAGGTGTGCCAAGATTTACAAGATGAACCCATAAATCTCAAATAGGAATCCATAGTGTATAAAGCTTTCTGGCCTGTTTTGGTCTTTCTGATTTCTTTGCAACAGAATTGCTTTATTATTTTTGTGTAGTCAAAAATCAAGTGAAAACGAAGAGGTGGCATTTTCTAGGGTGTGCCTTGAGTCTAAAAAGGTTGAGAACTACAGGTCCACCAGGGCCCAATCCCAGCATGCAGGGAGTGGGAGGGGATGGTGCTGGGTTCCTAGGGCCCAATTTTAGCACATGAGGCAAAGGGGGGCAGTGCTGGGTCCCAGGGCCTGATCTGGCTTGCAGACAGGTCTTATGCCACTCATCTGGCCCATGGGGCCAAAAGTTTGAGCACCAATGAACTAAGGAAATATGAATCCACCTTATGGTACATTTGTCTAGTCTGTAACTGGTTGGGTTGTCATAGTTAATGAGCAGTTATCAGTGGCTCAGTGTTTGCTTGGAGGAGGTATCAAGTATGGTTCCCCAGAGGTCTGTTCTGGGTCTGGAATTCTTCAACTTCTTTGTTAATGATGTGGATGATAGGTTTGTGTGCATGTTTAGCAAAACTGCATGAAACCAAGTTTGGTGGAGTGACACACAGCCTAACCTATAAGACTAGGATCCAGAATGACCTGTATAAACTGGAAAAATGATCTGAAATCAGATGAAATTCAAGAATTGCAAATGCAAAGTCCTGCACTTGGGATTGAATAATTGCACACACATATACAGGCCAGGGAAGGATTGACTAGGCTGCAGTTCTGCAGAGAAGGACCTGGGGATTACAGTAGACCATAAGCTGTATAGGAGCCAATAGCATGCTCTTGTTGGAAAAAGCGCCAATAGCATATTGGGTTGTATGAACGGGAGTGTCACTTGCAAATCAAGGGAAGTGATTTTGCTACTCTATTCAGCACTGGTGAGGTCTCGTTAAGAGTCCTGCCTCCATTTTGGGGCCCTAAACTTCAAGAAAGATGTAGGCAGATTGAAAAGTGTCTAGTGAAGATGCCCTGGTGCTGCCCTTGTTGGGGTGGGATGGGGTGTCCATCTGCCCAAGCCCCGGCTGGCCCCAGGGCTTGCCCACCTGCTGGAAGTCTCCAGCACAGGGGCTCTGCGCAGCGCCTGCCCAAGCCCTGACCCCGCAGCTCCCTCCAGGGGCTGAGCCAGGCTGGGGGCACAGCCCAGGGACAGAGTGCAGAGTCAGCAGAAAACAGACTGCGACCTTAGTTCTAAGAAGAGGTCCCCACCATTCAGTTGAATACGAGGGCAATGGATGGAGGACAGGCGGCTGCTGTGGCTTGGGCTCCAGCCCCTACCTGGGGTTAGGGCCTTAGCCACAGCTGTTATCTGCTCTCTTGCCCCCTCCCTCCCCGCCCACTGCTTCTGCACCCTACCATCTCTGCCCTGCAATCTCCTACCCCATCTCCACGCCTGCACGAAGCCTCTACTGCCCATCTGCCCCTCTTTCTCCCCAACCTTTACCTTAGCTCTGCATCAGCAGGCTCTATGCATGCTGCAACCCAGGGCACAGAGCACAGCCCCATAGCAGCAGTGTGCAGCCCATAGCTGCTGCAGGGGCTAGCCTGGGGCTGTGCTCTGTACCCCAGGCCAGAACAGGTATGGAGACTGCTGGCATGGAGTAAGGGTAAGCAGGAGAGGAGGGGGCGTGGGAGAGGCTGCAGGGTACAGAGGATGGGAGAGTACAGACTTGGGGTGGGAGAGCAGACCTGGGGGAGAGGAAGGGGAGAGCAGAAGCCTGGAGGAAAGGGGTTGGGGGCCTGAGGCTGCCCGGGGGGGGGAGGTTGCAGGGAAGCAGGTGCAAGCAGGGGGCAAACTGTCTGTCCCCATTGCCTGCCTTACTGCAGTGGTGTGGGGGATGAATTAAAGATGAACATGGATTCTATATATGGAAAATTATAACAAATTCATATATTTTCCATGTATAAAATCTAATTATTAGGGTGTTGTCTTAAACTCAGGGTCATCTTAGATTCAAGTATATATAATATATTTTTTATAAGGGGAGAAAAACCACTTAATGCATTTGAGTTGTAGGAAGTCAGGGTGGTGTGAGTTCAAAATAAAGACTTAACAGTGTCCAATAACCTTTGAAATCCAGCACAGATGATTTGTGTGGGTGGGGAGATAGTTAAGACTTTTGCACATAGTAATATACTGAGCAGGGCTTGTTGAGAAGCATTACCACAGTTTCATTGTCTGTTCATTGAAAACTCCTTCAGTCCAAATATCTGACTGATGACAAGATATGCGAATATAGCTTGAGTGAGACTGTTGTTCTTAAGTGTGATAGTTATTTATCAAACATTTCTTATAAGTCTTGTTACAAAAAATGTATTGAATATTATGATAGTGTTGGAGTGATGTATCCATGATGGTACAGAAAAATGCAAGAGGCAAAGGTTTTTATGGGTAGTATCTTTTTTTTGGACCAACTTAATAGTTCGGAGGGATGTAGCTTTTTGGATACTACTGTACCACTTCTTGGAATTGTTTTGGAGAAACAACCAAAGAATTGTCACTGAAAATGATACAAACTCATTTTCTTGGGGGTGAGGAGAGACTTAAAAGGCCTTCTTATGCTTTATGTACATTTTTACAGTGAGGTGTTAAATGGATTTTGATTGAGCTTTCTGTTTTCTTGTGTTATTGTCTAATAACACTTGGAAACCTATACTATAAAATATAGTAATATAATATTTTGTCTTTAATATAAAAGACTTGCAAGCAAAGAATGGTTATCTTTTATCTCTTCTTCAATATATTGCTATATTATAATCCTTCATTTCATTGCCAGATTTCCACAATAGTATCACAGATTGCGTATTTTGTAACCTGGTGGTATTAACAAGCATTTAAAATTTGGTGAGATTGGAATGAGAAGAGATGTGAAATATGATGATTTCTGCATTGTTCTTTAATCTGCAAAGCAATTGAAATTAATCAATCTGTATTTGAAGAAATTATGAAATATTTGTTCAGGGATCTTTGTTATTTAATACTTCATTTTATTGCTTTTCACCAATATAAATTTTCAAAATCACATGAGCAGTTCTGGTTCTTGTGACTTTTACAGCTCATATCTGAATAACAGTTTACTTAAAGAACTATGCATCTAAGGAGGCAAAGTAGGATGATTTGGAGACGTATGTTGGACAATAAGCTTTTTTTTTCCTTGGGAAATTTCCTTTAAATTTAGTCATTTAAAAATAGAGTTATGCTTAATGTGTGAATCTTCTTCAGTTTGGTGTAGGTAAAGGTAGAAAAGATTGCTCTACTTGTAAACAGTGTACATTTAATTAACTCTAGTCAGAAATACTAATTATACTTGGAAAACTAAATCAGTAAAATAGATGTTAGGACAGTATGTTAAACACAGTTCAGGTCAATTGCATTTATGACTACTGGTTAAAGTTATCCAAAAAAGGACTCTTTAAAAAGTTATAGCTGTTTTAAAAAATAACACTTATGCACAGAGGTTATATGAAATATATAAAGTTGAGCTTAAATATCTATTATTTCTCAACTCCTAAGTGACTCTGGATGAAAACTGCACAGGGACTGCAAGATGATAAAGTTAATGTAGGAAATAGTGTACTATTTCAGCTTGCTCTAATTCTTTTTGAAATGTGCACTTTACCTGTTGTGTCTGGTTTGTCCTGCACAATAAATAAAACCAAGCAAGAAAAGTTTAGGTAACACTCATCTTTGCTAAAATGCACTTTTCTGATGATCATAGACTTGTTTCTTGATTAAATTTTTTTTTTTTTTTTACTGTTGTATTGCTGCTTCTACTTCACTATTTTTTGCTCATTTGTAACAAAATTAGTGTGTCATCTAGAAACAGTGTTATATTATTTCTGCAAATTGTAATGACTGTCACTGAAACGTAACAGTGTTTGCTGTGTTACAGGGGAACCCAAGCTAAGACACGTAGAAAAAGATGTTTTGATTCCAAAAATGATGAGAGAGAAGGCCAGGGAGCTGTGTTCGGATAAAGTGCAAGGTAAGATTCAAATATTCATCTGAAAATCAAATCTGTTCAATTATGTGACATGAATTTAATCCCTTGGTTCAGAGTCAAATAGTTGCTGAATTAATATGTATGATCTGCATTTCATTCATTCCATGTGAAACAAGTATTACAGTATAAAAAACTCACATTTGTTTCAGCTGCTTTATAGTGTATATTTTTCATGAAAATTTAGCAACAAGGTGGTTGCACATGAGTGGCGGGGGGCAGGGGGACGACGACTTTCCAAAACTTTTTCTGGAGTCTACAGTGGAATAGGAAGACCACACCTATAGTCTCCCCATAATTCTGTTCAGCATTTTTCCAATTAAAAATAGAATTCCCATAGGTAAATCAGTTTACAAAGGACTTCTTAATATACTCTTGCTTTAAAAAGTTTCATGCAATTGTTTTCTCTTTTTTACAGATTTTGTTTATGACAAGTATGAGCTGTATAAAAAAATTGTGATAGTTGGGTATTTTTTGTGATGAGAAGGTTGTGGTGACTTGGGCCAGTAGTTACAAAAGTAAACATTTTATAGTTACTTCATTTACTAAAAAAAAATCTTTATTTTGGGACTGACTGAATTTGGGGGGCTTGTGTGTAGTTGGCAAGTCTCCCCACATGTAACTAGGATATATCCAAATGAGAAACTGAGAACCGAACAAGTAATATAGGATCGTTTGAAATCACTAAGCCTGGCTGTGGAACCATTTGTGGAGTGTCAGAATGATGACTGTAGTTCACCACCTGAAAATGTCAGAGATGAATACGTCAGAGGAATGAAAGACTTTGTGGAAGCCTGAGCGTAGCTCTTATACATCTTACCATGAGTTCTCCTAGTAAACTTTGACCAAAGTGAGCTCACTGTGTTCCACTTAGTTTCTATAGCAAGAAAGAAGACCCAAAGGAGAATAGTCTTTAGGGGGAGTTCTAGGAATCTATAATTTAGAAAGAAATCATCAACACTGTTGGATAAATTGTGTACAAAGAGGTAATCCAGGCAGTCTGATTAG